TCCTGTATGTTTGAAACTCGAGCGTTGCGGTGTTTGGGTGTAATGTATACGATTTTAATTTTTATTCCTTGGTAATTTATTTTTGAATAAGATGCTTCACTTGGCCTCGTTTTGGCTACAATAGTTTAACAATTTGTTATTACTATTACTCATTATCATTAATGAAATAATAGTCAGTCAGAGGGCTTATTAATATGTAATAATATGTATACTAAGCCTGAAGGTGGCGCTTTACTACGACGGCCATCTTGGATGGTACACATACATAACTCTGCATTGCTGCGCCATCTTGTCAGCACTCTAGTTGTTTAATAGCTCTATGGCTGCTACTTGAATTTTGCACTGCGCCACTTGACTTTGCACTGCGCCACTTGACCTTAGGCGATATTATATGGAACGCCAATTTTGGCATCAAAATTAAACTAAATACGGGCTCAACTATAATAGTTCTCCAAAGAAAGCAAATTTTCAGTGACTATTCAAATTCTCTATCGTAATATGTTAACAACTAATATTATAGAAAATTAATTAAGTGAATGATGGTCTATTATGAATTATGAGGAATTGCGTTTTTGAACCGACCACAGACGGCAGCATAATATTCATATTCATCCGCGTTACCGGATCTCTAAAATTTCGTCTTCTATTAAATTTAGCCCTTTTTATTTGTTAGTTTGATAGTCTTGGCTAAAACTAGGACTTGATTTAGTCGTAGTTAAATCTTCGACTACGTTATTTGTGAATACAAATTGAATTTGAAGTTGAAACTAGCACTAAATGAAGTTCTAGTTCGAAGTTCGACTAAAGTTTGTTTTAAGAATACGGATGTTACACTATAATAGTATATTTGGTATAGATTATTATTACGATTAGTTTTGGTATGTTTGTATCATCAGTGATATATAATATAATAGTGATATATAATTTTTTTAGCAAGATGTTGTAACTATGCAACGAATAAATTTTGGTTTGAAGAAACACGTACTTCAGTAATATATAAAGGTAATACATCATCATTAAGTTTACAGGAAACGCAATTGAGTTGTCCCGTATTCTTAATAAATCATCATTAACTACATGTAACACAACAATATGACAATCTGTTAATTGAAATAAAATATTCCAGCCTTCCCTTTGCAAAACCCGCCCATGAACGTTGCTGAACAAAATGTTAATTCTGGCCTTGTTCTGATTGGTCATTTGTTATATCAGACTGATATGCAGAAAGGTTTATTAGCTAAATGTCTTTGCGGTGGTTGTCGGAGAAGTCGACATGTATTCGTATTCGCTATCGTCAGATCATTTCCAATGTGACATGGTCACCGACAGTACCCTTGTTGTCGACCGATACTGGACCAGATACACCGGAACTATTTGGATGCGATTTACTTTTAGTAGACCTGCTTGTGTTACAGCAAACAGAATGACCCTTCATTGAAAAGTACTGAACAACTTCAAAGATAGTGATAACACTTCCGCCAATAAACAAACCCAATTGACCTCCAATGTCACCTAAGGAAATAGTTATAGCGTGAAATATACTTTTCAACTAACTTAGGTCTATAATATACCTAATAATGATGATAATTATATACTATAATACTGTAAAAATAATACTGTAATAATGATAATAATAATAATAATAATAATAATAATAATAATAATAATAATAACAATAATAATAATAATAATAACAATAATAATAATAATAATAATAAAATTAATAATAATAATAATAATAATAATAATAATAGTGATAATGAAGAGGGTGAGTTTTTCAAAATACGTTAGGATTTCAATCGATATACAATTTGCATATAAAAATTAATCATGAGAGATAATGCATGCAACTATAGATAAACAAATGATTTAACATTCAATGTTAAATGTGCGATGAAAATAAACATTTCCAAATCCATAAAGATGCAGAAAATGATATCCTTTTTATTTAGGCCTACACGCGAATGAGTTTCACGTCTTAAATGAATCAAAATATCGTTTTGTACAAATTACGCATGCACACATTGTAAAAGGCTGAGCCAATTTTGTAAACAGTGACGAGACATCACGCAGTGATTTAGAAGCCCCCATTGGCAGGTAGTGAAATGAAACGTACTCAATTTAAGGACGATTTACTTACTAAGAAGAGCTGAGAACGTCATTGCTGGAGTTTGTTTGAAGACTTGCAAGTTCAACTCTTCATAATATACATCCAGCAAGATATAATTCTTCCTGTTAATAAATAAAACAGCAAACTTACTTTGTCTTCTCAAAAACTAATATTCCTTCCTATCAATAAACCGGCACAGACTGCGCCAACCGGTTTCCGCAACGCAACATGACGACGCGAGGTGCGTGAATCCGCCAATCTCTTTTAACTACAGACAGCGTCGCATCATCAACCGCGCGTACGGAGAATGGATTTGCCCTACAATGCAGTCTTTGCGTAATAATGACAATGATAATAATAATATAATTATTATTTTTTTTTTTACACTTAGTACGTACATCTTTAATATAGTGATCATGTGATTGCGAGCAGAATTTCCCTTAGTGAAATAATAATCGTCTTCAAGGTTAGGGCAATCTTTGTCGATGTTTAAGGTAAAAATTTATGTAAAGCCCTTACGAGAAGTATGGTGAAGAAGTTTCATAAAAAGAGTACAATTCATTCTCAACAGATAGGTTAGGAATGTCAGCATACGTGACGGACGTTGAGAACGACGTGTACGCACACGGAACTGGACAGTCGCATTCTTCTAGAACTCCGCTTTTCAGTTTGTCTGAAACAGAGAAATAATGCAATTTATATTTTCATACAAAAACATTTTTACAGGCAATTAAAACATATAGGGCACAAAACATTTGCAGATTCAGCAATTCGAAGTAGAGAGGGCACAGGATGGACTCTCACAGATGTTTATGATTATGGCTGGGCCCTCTTTGAATCGTCCACTGCAGAATATTTAAATATTGTTCGTGTAAACTAAACAATAAAGCTATGCCTAGCGATATCCTATAAATAATAATATAAAAAAAACTTCCCGTTTATATGCCAGTTAAAATAAAAACTTAACTTCTATACAAACAACATTTAAAAAAATCATTACTGAGCACATCTGATGCGCAGCCCTCTGTTTCCTTTGGGGTACATTCTGGCTCATCACCTGGGTATCTACATAAAAAAAATAGAATAAACAATGATGATGACAACAGTAATTGCGATAACAATTGTATTGTTTTATTGGATATTGTTCGCTTATGTCAGTCTGTACAGGACTTAAGAATAATTGGTTATTACATTACAGATAGACAACTCAGCCCTATCATGGTTGAGAAAAAATAGATTACATCGCCTCTAGATGGCCTGAAATGACACTCTCAGGATTTTCTCCATCTTAATTTTGAAATATTTCCCATCTGGGTTCCCCTTGAATCCGCCACTGCATGGGGCGGGGTGTCCTCTAACGCTTATAAAATGATAAATGAACACATTCTTGAGAGAAAGGGGGGTGAAGAGAGAGAAAGAGAGGACTTGATATTTGTTATAAAAGGTTACTCAGAGACGCCTGGAATATGAACTATGACCAACATATTACAAATATAAGATCATAGTGGAGATGCTCCCTACTGTACCAAGAAATTTGACGGTACGAAGTTTAGTGAGGGAATGTCTGCATGCATATTCATGTATATCAAATAGGGTCTTTGACCTAACTCACCTAGAATAGCACCCTCTGTAATGTCTGCCTTATGTGTATGGGAAAACATCTAAAAGCTCCCAATTTTCAACCATGATGGGTCACGTGGATATAGTAATTTCCCTAGTTTTTATGTATTAAAGTGCAATTTTCCCGCATCTAAAAGACCCCAATTCTTAATATATCTCACCTCAGCCTCATTCATAATGGGGCGCACGCGCGGGTATAATAATTTTCGTAGTTTTTATGTATTGAAGTGCCATTTCCGGCATCTAAAAGTCTCAAATTCTTACAGTTTTTTTACCTCAGCCTCAACCACGGTTAAGTATCCAAGTGCCGTTTTCGGGCACATAAACTCTCAATTTCTTAAAATTTAGACATCCGCGCCCCAAAACCATGGTGGGGCTCAGGTAGATATCGTAGATTTTGTACTATTCAAGTGCTATTTTGGACATCTATACAAGTCGAACATTTTCAAACTTTTCTCACCTAAGCCTCACCATGGTGGGGCTCAGTGGATATGGTATTTTTAGAATTGTAGGTACTTAAGTGCCATTTTAGGGTACCTATTATAATTAATTCAGTCTTTTTTTTTTTTACTTAATTCGTCAAAAATAAAAAGAATGAAAAGGTAATTTAAGTTCCATTTCTGGGCATCCAGAGGTATAAAATAGTGAATTTGGTGCGGACTCTCATTTCAAGTCCAGGATACACCACTGTTTCTTAAAAAAAAAAAAAAAAAAGTCAAGCCAAATATATTTTCATTTTTTCTTTTTTGTTGTTCATGTGAATGTCTGATAGGTTTACTTTAAAACAATGCTAAAAACACAGTGTCATTGCCAACACAGACACATGCACGACTGAGCTTTTTCTGAATTAGTAGTGGTACGTAACGTTTGTCATGCACTGTATCATGTGCTATAGAAATGGAAGACCATAATGTCATGGATGAGAATATACCCCTCTGGTAGGGTCTAGAGTACAATCACTGTAAAATTGAAAGATACAGGCTAGTGTGAATTTAAATAATTTCCTAATTATAATGTTCAGAATAATGTGTCAAGGAAAGTAAGTATGATTGTTGGAAAAAACATTTTATTTTTATTTCTCACCTTAAACTTCGCCTGTGCGAACTGGCCGAAGGTCTGGATTCGCGCCTGTGTGTTTATAAACATTACTGCTAAAACCTTTTTTAAACTCATTGACTGTGGCATCATCTTATTTTTTACTAAATTAATGTTACCTACTAGATCTTAAAGTTTTATATTTTAATTTACTGTATTATAACATAAATGAATTTAGATTAAGATGGTTACGTTCAACAGTTATGTTTTTTAATGATGTATAATTTCACTTAAAGAAATTAAACAAATAACAGTCAATAAGGTACTATATATATTTAGTTTATAATTTCACACACTTTCATAAACAATGAAAGTGCCCTGTACATATTCCCGAAAATAAATTATTATTTCCAAAAAACAAGATATAAAAATTTAATCATTCTAAAAACACATGGACTATCAAACATCGATTTATGCTAATTTATTAATTCAAATTTTTACTATTTTGCTGAATTAAATAGTTCGAAAATTAAAAACAAAATCAGTTTTATTACTAAATTTGATCATTGAGGGCCATTTTAACATGCCTGTCATTTGGGGCCATTTTTACCAGGGTCATATTTTTCTAGGCCATTTTTATCGAGCCTTTTTTTCAGTGGCATTTTTTCCGGGAACTTGTCTACATCCATTCCCCCCTTTCAGACTCCGCTCCAGAAATTTGCCGAAAATGGGCCCGACATATCCGACAGGGGTCCGAACCAATTGGCCGACTATAGCCTCGACCCGAGTTTCTGAACAGAAAGTCCCTGGTAGGGTTCACTGTGAGATAATTTAATATGGACAAACTTGTGCTCTTAGACCACAATATTAGATTAGCAATCAAAATAACGTTATTTGTAGAGGCAAGTTAATTTTTTTTTAGATTTTTTTTTTACATTTTTTATCCAGCGGGGCTGGATCGCGGGAGGGCGGATGTTCCATCAATTTTAATGCAAATACGCGGAACAGCTCATTCTTCTGCTATTTAAATTCTTTGGTACAAGTTATTTTGGAGATACCCTGGGACTGGAACCCTACCTAGAGGCTTCCACAAACACCCGTTTATTATACAAATTTCGAAGTTTTCTTGTGCGTGTAAGCAAAGAGTATAAATAGAACAAGAGAGCCAACAACGCTCATTGAGAGCTTAAAAAATCCATACGCCCATACGCAGCTAGTGTAGGACGCCAACTAACGCTTGTATGTGTTTTATTACTCCACCGCGCACGGTCGGTTTGTCTGTTTATCTGTTCTCCACAAGATACTGTACTTTTGTTTTCTGCATAGAGCTATTAAACAACTAGAGTGCTGACAAAATGGCGGAGCAATGCAGAGTTGTGTATGTGTACCATCCAAGATGGCTGACGTAGGAAAGCGCCACCTTCAGGCTTAGTATACATATTCTTACCAATAAATAAGCCCTCTGACTAAATATTATTTCATTAATGATAATTAGTATTGATAATGACAAATTATTAAACTGTCGTAGCCAAAAAGAGGCCAAGTAGAGCATCTTATTCAAATATTTAAAAGAATTAAAATCGTGTACATTACACCCATACACCGCAACGCTCGA